TTTGAGTTAGCCAACAGTGTAGTTAATCACATTTACTCGCAGGTCATCGCCGTGGTTCGCGATTGGCGTTGTGCCCGTAGAGGCGTCATATGCCTTGTTCAAACAGCACCAGTGAGTAGAATTAATTCCTACAACGTGACATCAAATTTTCCTAGAATATAACATTTTACCACAGGACTCTAGAAATAACGACCTTTATCTTTTTGATGAAGACCTTTTAAATGTTTGGAGAGCCGTTTTGAGTTTTACACTGGAGCGAACTCGGAACGTACATTCTTTTTTCACCAACCAGATGAGAAATTATGGTTCGCAGTTCTGATTTCCTATTGTTTATTATTTATGGCTTATAAAGGCTACTCTTTTCATTAACGAACTACACAAGATGTTATAAGAAGCTTTATTCCATAAAATCTCATTAAGCCCATAGGGTTTAATAAGTGGTGATACTTCTCACCTATATAGATATGAAGGGTATTGTAAAGTGTAGGCCGCATCCCAAACTAATTAATTTTCGCTCCAGTTATGTTATATTGCAGCATTTCTCTCGTACTCCACCTTATTGGCTTTCTTCAGGATCCGGAGGTAGCCAATATGGGAATACGCATCATCTAAACCAATTCCCCGGGGTCATTTTAAGATGTCTCTCTCCCGCAACTCCGCCCACTCCGAAGGATCCGCCCCGTGTTTAGTGCCAGCACGGCCATCTGCCAAAATCTAAACCAGCCGCATCATGCATTCATTATTACTACTTCTATTTGTAAGTGTTTATTAAGACATTACAAAACCCATATCGAGTTCTAACTCTTTGTAATCAACTTTATCCCTTTAGACCCATAACGCTCTTGCGAACGTTATCAACTATCAATTTCATGAAGAGAACGGTTAGTTATTGTTATCATTTATTTTGCACGGTTAGCTTTGTTTATGGTTTCGAAATCCAATCTTTCATCATCTAGCCTGTCTCCTTCACCTGGTTTTCCATGCCGTTTAATTTAATTCGAAAGGGATATGGTCCTCATAGGTACCCTACGGCTCCTCCTCTTCATAACAAGTGTTACGTGCACGGCTGCTGTAAGACGGAATTCTTTCCGATTATGGTTCGGATTATCTCAGCTTTCCATCCTTGCAATGGCATTGTTTCTGCATTGATCTTGGTGCTGGTAAATTGGCATATCGCTTTGTCTAACATTACCTTTATCGCTCAAACGCCTTTGTTTTTTCTGTCAAACATTAATTTGTCCTTTTGTTAAAAAGGATCATCTGCGTTGACAAAGTTGTAATGAGCTTTTCTTCAATAATCGTACCAATAAGTTCGTTTCCACTGCAATATACTCTTCCCTTTCGGTTTCGGAATTTAATCAAGCCTCTCAGTGTGCCATCTCTTTGGTCCTCTCAGTGGTCTTCTCATAACTCGAACCAGATTACGGGAGATGTTTGGAATATCCAATAGGATCACGCTCTTGGGAATGAAACCGACTTCGGTGCTGTTTGTCCATGGACATTCTAGCAGTACACTGGTCCCAAAAAGGAAGCAATGTAAATTTTTTAATAGCAGTAAATACAAATAGTGCGAAATCAATATAAGACAGAATGAGTAGAAGAGACGTTGTTTTTACTGGAGTGAAGGCGAACGGTTCTGCTAAGAAGGGCGATTAGACCAACGTGCACCAAATCCACTTTGGTGTCTCAAATACCACCATATTTAGTAGGTTAGTAGGGCAACATTTCTCTGTATAACAGTTCTGGATTCCTACTCTACATATCCCTACTTTTATATCCCTAGAAGTTTCAGAATACAAGCTTTTACCTCAACCTATTTTTCGCACCTCTTCTGTGAGTGCTATCCACAAAAGGCGATTGGGCAACATAGGCAATGATTTTTCTAAAATATTTCCGCAGCAAGCTGTATCGTCACTCGGTCGGCTTTGTGTTTCAAAATATGAAAATCACAAGGGTAAATGATTAACGTTAATTGATTAGGAGCTAAACCTAACCTATTATTTTCCTATTCAAGGAATGACGGTCCGCCTTTCATGGGAGAAACAGGATTGTTATTTTTTTCAACCAGAGCGTTTTATTATGACATTCTAACCCTTAATACCTGAAGCTACAAAAATAATGGGGTATATGGATCTGAAATGTTGCATTTAATTTCTGAACTAAAATCAGCACTTCAGGCCATGAAGTGAATGATTGCATAGAGAAGTCGATGGACATTTTGATGGACGAGACGTGTTTGTTCTTTCGACAAACCACTGAGCAGAACGCCATCGTTACCTTCATCCAATCAACGTACGTGCACGCGATGTTATTTCAGAATTTTCACCAACTCTTTACGTCTAGGGTCTAATATTTCAGTGAAGTAAAACCGGAGATCAGTGTATTTTAATAGGATTGGAGGACGACTTTTACGTGTTTGAGTAGTTACAACTCGTACTCGATTACTTCAACGAATGTTCGCATGGGCTGTAGTGGCATATTAGTTTGAACGGGAATGGCGTGATGGTCATTTATAGCCTCCAAGACATCTCACTATTAAGAAAACGTCAATGTCAGTTTTCAAAAATGGAATAGCTTTCGGTTTTCATCCAGCGTTAAGATTAATGGTACGTGCCTTCTATCTAGGGAGGCGTCATTCCACATTACCAGACTCCGCGTGCACTTCAAATCCTTGGTCTAACATGCTTTTGAAGTACCTTCTTGTCAATCATAGAGGAGAAATCGTTCTCTAGTAGAATTTCTTCGTATGTAAATGGACTATTTGCAGACACTGTTCGTGGCAGGAATCAAATCGAACAGTTCATCTTCATCCCAACTGCATCTCTGTGAGTCCATTAAACTTTCGCGTTCCCCTATCCACTGCAGCGTTTGATAAGCGTCATTACTGCGAGTTTCGAGTACTCCTTATATTTAGGCAGGTTTTGAAGACTGAGAAATGCAATGTTTCAAACGTCAAAGCAGAGTTATTTTACAAAACTTGGATATCTAAATTTGTAAAGCGATGGAAAAATAAGAGCTTATTCAAGAGGTCTTTGGTACGGCTCGGTTGGCTGCATTCTTATTAACTTTGCGCAAAATGAGCAGCAATAACTGCTAGTTGTTGCAAGCGATTAGCTCTCAGAAGTGGATTAGTAGCGGGAGGTCGACGCAGAGAACTATAGAATGGCCTCCTTATAGAAATTGAAGTAGATTTCCAGCTCCGACTTTATACCAACGAAACGGAGACTATTATCTGTCTAGTTCGTTGGCTCAATAGCACTTTGAAAATTACCCGATACAGTAATAGCGCTCTGGGAATAGTACAGAAAACAGGCAACATTATGAACATCAATTATGATTAAAAGCACATGTTTATGCGAAAGAAAAAGGCTTGGGAAGGCAGGGAATAATGAGGTATTTTTTACTATTTGTTTACAAAAAATATTATTTAAATGAAAAAATAAGTAAAATACTATTTATTTTATCTATTTAGTATTTTGCGCGGGGTATTTTTTGCTCGGATGCTTTGATTGGTCCGAGTTATTTATTCTGAGTTGAGGACGACTTTTGCTACGAGATTATTGGACGAGTTTTGTCGGTCGACAAGCCACGGAGCCACATCGCTCGTCATCTCAATTTGCATTATAACTGCAGTGGTATGTGGTCTTACTTTAGTTGTTGATTATTTGCGGTGTTGTGGTCAGGTGTGGCGTGTTGTCACGTGGGATTTATTCGAGACTCTAGTAATAAGCACCTGTGGTTGCTCTTATCTGAACCAAATGGTAGTCACATACTGCTTAGTACTGAGCAGCAGAATTTTCTACAATTCCTTTTTCGAATTTGATTGTGTATGCGTGTGAAAGAGAGCTGTTCTCATAGGTCACCAATATTGTCCGTCTTAATAGAACCTTCTTTTCCGCGTTCTCTTAGCTGATTTCATAATCGCCTTCATTTTTTGGCACATTAATCTGAGAACTCCGCAGCAACTCTCCTCTGTGCGATTTTCCGATGATTTCCAATATCTTTTGTCGCCTTTCTAATCATATAAACTCGTATTCATGAACCTATTTAAGCTGTTCTTACCGTTTTGAAGGATCTACGGTTTTCTGTGCCATCAGGCAATGTCTTACTTTCTATCTCCTAAATACAGTGCACCGTTTTTGTGGTCGATAGCGTACCTGAGCCACCACAGAAAGCCGCCACTTTCCTGTGGGTCAAGTAGACCTCAAGTGGATGTGGGCAATAGTGGTAGGGGCCACAGTAGCCGCATGTAGGGGCGTACAACGATTTTGGTCTGCAAAAGACAAGCACAAAACTTATTCAATTACGAAGTGAGCGAACGGACATTAATAACTCAGAGGTTGCGATAGCGCCTATCTCAGCATAACGAGTACCCAGCCCAGTACCAAGGTCATAGACAAGTACCCCCAGCTAAATAAGCAGTTAGTAAAAAAGTTAACCATAGTAAGAAAGACGGCAATTTTATTAACTTAACCCACCAATAGCCTACTTGATTTTGACGTAATTTCTAGATGCGTTTTGATGTGGGCGTTGGTCTTACGGACAATCCAAAACATTGAAAGGTCATCGTTGTTTGTCTTTCCGTATGATGTTGGTACACCTTTATGGGAAGGCCGTTGGCTGAGGTTGGGCCATCCGTTGGAAACCCTCCATTAACCGACATATCAGGCAATCCTGTATTCTCTTCGTGTACGACGTCAATCGACGCAGTGTTGATGTAGTGTCCCGCCCTTACTACCGTCCAATGTGGCTAATACTATTCAAGTACTTCATCAATATCTGAAAACCCTAACCGTCATTGCTATTAAAAAATAACTCGAAAACCGTTGCTGTATTCTTATTACTTGAGGTAAATTCAGCGAGGAGAGACCCCTACGGTGGACTCTACGTAGAGGGATTTTATAAAATCCCCTCAAGTAGTCGATTACGAAAGTGCGGCCTCGACAAACCTTGTCCATCATCTGGGTTGTGTACTGGGTTTGCTCTTGCTCACGAGATTGATGACATGTCCATTGGCAATCACCATGCTCACCTTTAGCGGTATCGTTGCACGGACAATTTCGAAACAGACCAAAAACGTTGGTGTGTCCTGCGATAGCGATTTGGTTACGGCGACTACCAGGACCAGGACGGCTGTCCCTGAGCCATTGCGCGATATCTGCAATTATCTGGAAAGTGGCGAATCGCTCACGCGATTGCGAACGCAAGTGATAATGGACATTTGGCCCGACCCGAAACTGCACGATAGAAAATGTCCGTCACACTTTAGAACAGGACACACAGTAATGAGTTGGCAAAGGTTAAGACGAGCGAAGTGACAAAGTTACCGTTCCTTTGGAGGAATTCATATCAGACGTTATCGGTAAACCACATACGAAATTGGTTTTAGTAGAAAACCTCACCAATCAGCAAATGAACTGCGCTTAATTCATTTGAGATAGCAATGTAAAACCAAAGATCACGTACGAAAGGAACAAAAAACTTGCTGATTTCATATTCAAACAGATTCGCAAGCACATATGGGTGCTAGATTTGCTGTGGTCAACTCGGGTCAACTCGTACAGACCAGAGGACGAGTTATTCTCTTGCACTAAGCACTCACTACTCTATTACTTGATTTCTCGACGTGCTTTCTTAACACTTTATGTTAGCAAAAAGAATAAAAGATAAAGCTCTCGGGGTTGATCAATCTCTGAGGTTGCGCCGTGCATTCGACTTCATTAAGTATCCTTAGAGGTGATTGAATGCATAACTGGCCTTTACAATGACTCGTGGTGGCCAAATGATGTATCGAGCCAGTGCTGCTATCCTCCCAGACAAATCTGGTACCAATTTGCCGACCCCGGAAGGATGGAAGGCTTGGTGGGCCAAGCGCTTGGGGTCATTTTATGTTAGTAGGTCGAATAATTCTGTTCGCTTACCAGTACCAAGTAGGGACAGGACTTAACGTTCAGTTCTTGAAAAGAAGAAGAAAACATACATTTTTGTTCCGTACTTTATTTAATATCAAGCAGATTTGCTTATGAGCTACAAATTTAAACTGAGTCAGAGTTCGGTGCCACCTGGGAAAGCTATGCGAAGACACAGTGTAGATATCTTTTCGGAGAAATACTCAGAGAAAGCAAGGGAACTATGGCAGAGTGTTGGGATATTAAGTGATTTCACTCTCCTGATAATACTCTGTTTATAGAAGGCCTTTCCGTACCATTTTTCTGTTCAGAGAAATGCACGATCGAGTGCAAGCACGGCGGCTTGGTGCAGGACGACTGCTCTTGCAAGTGCGGCTACGGATTCTCAGGGAAACGGTTTGTTTGCCTGTTAAATCCTATCTAAAGTAGTCTCATTGAATCTATGCCTGTAGGCCGGATATTTTGAATAGAGGTCCAACTGGAAACATTAGATAGAGGTGTTTTAAGGAGGTGAACTTCAACATAGGTGAAAAATGACCAAACAACCGGAATGAATTACTAGACATCTGCTTAGAGAATGTTTTAAAAAGGTCGTATTACAAAAATAAACAAAACGACGGAAAATTTCTGAACAATCAGAAATACCAAGCATTGGAATTCCGCAAATTTTTTCTTAAATATTTGTGTTCTAATTCTGAAGTCCTCTGTCGCAAATAGATTTTTGAAGGACAAAGCTTCCTGATTTTTTGAAAATGTGATGAATTCTGGGGATATCATTTATTCGCTTCAGATGTGAATTACTGGGGAAGGAAGCGTCATTCAGTGACAAGTCATGTGGTGTGATTGATGTGCTCGGCGATGGAATCGTCAGCCTGTCGACATATCCTGAACCACGCTCAAAGACCACGTTCTGTCAGTGGCTCTTACGGGTGCGCCTTATTTCTCTCATGAGACCTATAGGCATTATTTATTCATTTTATCACTCCTAGAGAGCTTTATTATGTTATTTTTTGTCACTCCTAGGGAGCCAAATTCATTTCGCTTGCAGTCAGACGATCCATGGACGTACATCGAGGTGAACATTGAAAGGCTCGGTCTGGACGGTGAAGACATCCGGCCGGGATCTCATTGTAACGATTTCTTCACTTCTTTTGGTGAAGAGGAGCAAGTTGGGCCGTGAGTTCCCGACAATCTCGTTCGAAATGAAGCAACTCGGCAGTCTTTGTGGAACAGCAGGATCCGTCCTTCCGTCGCTTAACGAACCCACTGCTTATTCTTTAGTTGAGCCATATAATTAGGTGCGCAATTAGGCGATCTCTCCTTCTCTAACGTTCACTGACAATAACAGGAAAACGGCAGCGGCCTCTGCAGCATCTTTATTCAGACTGAAGAAACTAGCACGAAAAGAGCCTTTTTCATTCTTTCACAAACAAGACTGAGAAACCTAAAAACCGGATGAATGAATTTGTAGTATAAAAACAGTAGCAAGGTAGATCCAATAGCTTGAAGCGAGGGGTTCAGTTGTATTATATAATTCAGGATTCCTAGTCGAATCAGCTTCTTATTTGTCGTTACAGTTGGATATTCTCACCAAAAGAATTATTTTTGCTCTTATTGGAAGTGAGGCTAAATTCAGAGAAAGCATCTTCTTTACATAACAAAGATGGTTGAGAAAAATGAGAAAACACGAGCGCTGCTGTGAAAGGAATAAAGCTGAACGACTACCACTTTGTTCTTTGTTTGCCACGGCATTTTCGAGGGAATCGATGTTTTTGTGGAAATTTCAGATAAACAGATTATCGTGGTTGTTGACTTCATATCCTGGTTTTACTATCACTAGGCTAAATATCGTACAATACAGTGACCACATTGAACTATCCATCTAACCATTGTATCTGTTAGGTCTGCTATTATCTGTTTCTGTATTTGCTGAAAAAGATATTTTTAATCTACATAAAGACCGAACAGTGTAATGTTTATTCTGGGCTAGAATTTTGACAAGGATCTTTCAGAATTCCATGCGATGGCTCACGAAACGTGACAAAGCTACGCTCAAAGACGAACTGGTTGCTGCTCGAACTACGGAGCGATCCCTACTCGGATACAGAAGTCACCGGACCACTGCTCAGATACGGTATCAAGCGAATAGAGCCTGGTTCGTATCCATTGGTTCTTTAAAATTTCGAAAGCTGAAAATGAGAAACAAACTATCATGAGCATCACTCGTTTATGTCTGTCGCTAACACTGTCAATAAAAGCGACCCGTTCCGTGCATCGTCACTTCTGCGAATTCCGTTATCACTTCCTTAATTCTTATTAAACTGCAGATACCGTCTAGCTCATGAGCAAACGACGAACACCTTCGCCTTCTTTGTAGGTGGTCTTGGTGGTCTTGTTGAAGAGGGTCGCATCCTCTTGGGGTCCACTCCACTATCCCTTTTGTCCATCTGTCGCCAATTCTCATCAGATGACCATACAGTCTTCAATCTAAATCTATAACTGGCCATGCCACTAATACGGAATATAAGATGGGTGGGGCTTTCACAGCGAAATCGGTAACGGTAATTAATGCATCAGTTAACTTCATTTCTTGAAAATAGAAACTCCATATTCAAGTGTTTTTTGTGAAAATCTAAATGCAATTGCTATTTGGACCCATTTTCTCGCATTTGCATAGGACTAAACTCCGTGCTAACCTTTTTATTCTCAGCTCTGCGTCGTTCGTTCGACTTATTCGATGTTTGTTGTTGAGTGGCTAGATTGTCTTTGTCCTCAAAAAGACTTTGGTGTCTCCAGTGCGCATAATTAAGCATTCATCTTATAAAGTTACTAGGTGTTAGAATTCATCCTAGTAGATACTGGAGGGCGCACTTATTAACTGAGTGTGGACAAAAAACACTGTTGATTCCTAGCATAATTAAACAACTGGCACTGGCCTCATCCTTTTACTCATAAAGCGAATTTGTGACACTTCACGGCTGAAGGGACACTGTTAAAAACTCGTAGATTCAAAGTTGTTAGTATTAATAACACTGCGAAGCAGCAAATAAAGAGCCTTCGTACCGATTTTTCGTACTTAACTACCTGAAGTTCCAACCAGTCGTAGATTACAGCTCATCTACTGAGTACTGAGTGAATAATACGGAATGACGGCGGTTCTAAATGGCTCAAAATCATGGTCTGCCTCTTCTCCTAATCGAGTTGAATCGGCAGCTCAGCCATTCCAATCAGCAAGCCCCTAAATTGGCACTGAGCCAAATTGCGTTCCACATTCCTAAACGACTGAAGGAAACGATGCGTCACGTTCGGAAGGCCCTTCTTTACGGACATTACTGACTTAAGTTGGCTCGAGAAAGGAAGCAAATGCGACTGCGCGATTGCGCATCAAACTCAATCCTTGCGATTCATGCTTGATGTAGCAATCAATAGCTTACCCGTTTAGTCGTAGGTATGTGTAGAATCCAAAAGCAGCTGTAGTAGGAACAACCTCCAATAACCAGCGACGAATCAATAATATTTCTGTTCAAATTACGCATTAGGATAACGGAATGCATTCTTGACCCTCTTCAACAGTCAAAACTAGTTTTTTCTAACTAAAAGGGCGACTGTGGTGCAATGGTCGGAAGCAGTCTGCAGCATACATGGGATAGGTCTCCGCGTCACAGGCTCTCCAAGCCCTCCATCCGTCCGGTGTAGGCAAATTGGTACCAGACTTGTCTGGAAGGATAAGCAATGGCTCGATACATCGGTAGGGCACCGCAAGTCGTTGTAAAGGCCAGATATGTATTCATTCACCTCCAAACGATGCTTAATGAAGTCGAATGCATGGCGCGTCCCTCAAGAATTGATCAATGCCGAGAGCTTTATCCTTTATTGTTAATCAAAAGGATGAAGCGCTAAGGAAAGCAGGTAATAGATGCTAGACAACCTCTTAGCACTCCTCGCATTTGCTACGAACAAGTTTATAGTTCATAATTCCATTGAACCTTTAATACTCACTGTCGTTCAATAATAGCAATAGATACAAATTACCAGGAGATCTTGCCTATACCATCCACAAATTCGAGAAGCAAAATACAAATTCATTTTGCTCCAGCCGTAATATGTTTCTTGTTTTCTACTACCTACTGCACATAGTTCCTAAGTCCCTGGCTGAGACCGTGCTCACGTCTTATTCCATATTATACTTTTGTTCGCCCTTTAACAAATTGCAAGTGGACATGGTCTGAATTCGAACCTACTGCTACATTTGGTTCTTTCAGGAGTTCGCATATACTCAGAAGGAATGACTTCGTACGCATTCGTACCAACTGCTCCTATACTTTTATTGTTCTTCATGGCTGGTACACTCTGAGATGGGCTTTCAAATTTACTGGATATGCAGTCCATTCTTTCTTGTTAAGCAGGGACATCATGTCACGGGAATCTAACCAGCCATCAACTCCAGGAAACCATCATCAACTACCATCACCCCCAATAAACAAAGTCATATAAGTTGTTTCGCCTAGGTGCTCTTGCATTCTATCTGCCTTTGCAGTCCATGTTTCCATATGATCATTGTTATTTATGTCTTGTTTTGTGTTGTTTTTGTGAACTGCACGTTCATGTTTTTGTCGTATACGCTACCATAATTTCTTTAATATTACATAATAGTCACCATACATTTGTAGTTTTGCTTACTAGAAAATAGTCTACTGTTGGAACGCAGTTAAACCGGAAAATTTATCCGAAGTTCTTGATAACCACTGTCCACCGAAACAGTCATCACCATCGGATCCTACTCATCCATTGCACCGTCTTAGTTAAAACACAGGGGCGTCTCTCTACAAATCCACTTTGGATAATGTCTTGTCTTGTCATATAACAAGAGAAGGTTTTCGAAGTAAATATTAGAACTTCTACAATGATAAATGAAAATCATCGTGAAATTTAAATAAAAATTTGTATAGAAAGACGTTCAGTGCGACAAAGCCACAAAAGCTAGTTTCTCTTCATCTTTCGAAACTACACCAAAACAACAAGTGCGGCTAAACTGCTAGTTTTAACAATACTATAAAACTGGGCATTTCAGTAAATAAAAGACGTTTGTCCTGCCCTGGTGGAATGGGCCGCATGCATCGCATACTCTTCCTGGAGGTTTGTCTTTCCTCAGAGAGTTTCTTAAAATGTACTCATTGTATTTGATAGTATCGCATCCATTACTGCACACAATCTGAATAACTTGAAACCGTATTTTTGCTTCACACGTGGGACATGCTGCTGAAAGGTGACTTTATCTCCAAACGGCGAGTGTTTGAGATTCGCAAATACGCGAGGCTTGTTAATTACGCTTCTATTCCTATAAAGTGCGATTGGTGGTCTAATCTTAAACAAGCTGTCTTTTGGTCTCACACTGCTTTGTCGGGAGCATGGAAAGTGGCCAATTCCTTTTCAAATCGAATTATTGTTCCTATACTACAGCTTCAGCTTCATTGGTTTTAGTGCCGCTTTGTGCACTACAGATCAGTCCCGTTAACTGGTGCCTATGGGTTAAAACACAGCTGAGACAAAGGTGAAACGAAGGAGTCGCATGGTGTGCTGGTGAATCGGTTAGGTCCGGGAAGGGTAATATCGAGTTCGATACTCACCGCAAACACCCCCTATCCGGAGTTAAGCAAATATCTCAGCACATTGTGGCTATAATTCACATGACACCCTGCCAAGGAAGAAAGAATATGCAGTAAATAGAAAGGGACCACATTCAAACTATAGCTTTGCATGATGGATGGGAGTAGACCAGTAATCTCTTAATTCTGAAAGGAATAATTCCCATCTCAGAGACTTATGAATCTCGCGACATATCTTTTATGATCGGTTTCCGTTTGTCTCGACAAGAACCAGCTACCAAATTTCGGCCATAAACAATGCATAGAAGTAGATCTGTTTGTTCTGGAAAGGAAGATTGTATATTAACACCAGACCGACAGTCCTCGAAACATTGGTTGTGAAGTGATGCATGATTAGATGGCTCATCGATGGTTTGATCATCATCTTTGTCCTCTTCGATTCGCTTTCTCCTATTACTTCGATAGAAACATAAGAGCTTACACGTTGCCTTGCGCATCTCCGGTCTCTTTAATGTCAGTTTTGATTAGAAGTCAATCAGCGATAAATTCTGTTCGATATTTCAACGTCGTTCCCCTGTTGGTGAAATCTCCTGGATCTCGAAGATGGGAGAAATCTCGATGATCTGAACTTCACACTCCGCCTAAACTTTGTATGAGTATACTATATTGCAGAATACATCGCTGATGGCAAGCAGAATTCTTGACGTGGTTGGATTAACACCCCACGTCTCTGCTGTGAAACAGAACGCTCGTAGGATTGTTGACTCGAAAATGTGGGCGTAGAGTTTTGGGTTAGGCCTGAATGCCATCCATGCTGCTCTCCTTCTTGTGTCTGTAATCAAAGAACAACACAGCTTGAATTTTTGTTCGAACCATGGTGTCTTCATGAAGTGGGTTTTCTTTCTATTTATACGCAGCCCTATCCTCTTTTGCTTCATTCGGCTCATTGAGCATCATATATGCTTTACTGATACTACACGAAAAGATGACGACGTTGTCAGTAGAACGAAGATTTAACAGAAATTTTCCACCAATACGTATGACGTTCTCGTCCTGATCGAGCGACTTTTTCATCCACAATAATGCAGCTATGAACAGCTTCGGCGCGATGGTATTGTTTTGTCGAATCCACTTTTCTATGGGAATACTAAAGGATCGATGGAAAGCTGTATTTTTGCGCCAAAAGCTTGATAATAGTAAGCTTGCGTTCGAACATAGGGCGGACCCACTCGTTAATCGACGAGCGCTGACAGAAATGCATTCATTTAGACGCTGTCAAACGCTTCCTTGTAATAGAGAAAGGTCACGACTAAGAGTAGGTATATTCTCAACAAACCCTGGGCACGGGTTAGATGTAGAGCATGCGGGAGAATCCCTACCAAAATTCCGCTCGTTCAACCGGTTGTGCCTCATTGAAGTTCTTAATGTGTGCGATAAGATAACCTTCATGGAAAGCTTATGAAGTATACTAAAAAAGTAAGTCGCACGATATTTAAGAGAAGCCATCGCTCACTTATTTTGATTAGGATGACAGTGCGCCACGTCCTCCACTGCACAAGAATTTTCTCCTTTGAAAGTATGATGTCATATGAGTTGCGAGCACACGTAGCTTATGCCTTCTAACTCGGAGAAAGTCACAAGTGATGTTACTGGGGCTTGCAGCTGTGCCTTTCTTCATGCTCTTAATCGCAAATTGGATTTTGGTGGGATGAATCCCGCGCGCGCTTTTTCTCGAACGAGGATTTCGGGATAAGATACGGAGACGCCATTTTTTTCATAAACCGGTCCATTTAGTACTACTTCGAACACTTTCTTCTTCATACACTAAGGTAGGTTCGCTTGCCAAAATCTTCTGCAAGTAGCATTTGTAACGTGTAAAGCTTCTTGCAGTAGTATCGAGCATCGATTATCTTCTCTTTTCCAGTAACTCCTCTGTGGTAATGCTTGCTTTTTTTGTTTATTGTGAAATTTTTGTTTAGGGAACTAAGGCGAGTTCGGCACAGCTTTCAAGCGTTTCGATAAGCAGCTTGTAGTACTTGCTCATAATTTTCTTGATCCACTAGTCATGTACAAGTAGGCTTTCGTTCAAAATCTTCCTATCACATACAGCATGACGTTTTCTTACTAGGCGATAGGAAGGATTTTTCCCATCTTAAGACTGAATGGAATTTTCGCACGAAGAAAGCGGTAGTCGGAACCAGCACCTATTATTGAGACCGCAGATGTCCCAGACTTCTTCCTCCTAACCCAAATTTTCCGATCCTGCGACCGCTTTTGGTGGCATCTACCTTGCTCGTATTGAAGTCTCGATATTTGATACTTGAATGGCCCGTCCTGAGTAATTGTGTCGACCTAATACAATCTCCACTTTTCGGAGATTCGCTGGCAAAGCTAATGTTGTTCCTTGGAATCCCCAGGTCAGTCTGGCCAAAGTCTGCCCCGTCTTCACCACCACAGGTACTCGCAGCTCTTGTGGATCACAGGGAGATTTGCCATCATGCGACTTTGATACCAAAACGGTGGTGGACCCTGGTATTGGTTTACTCTTAGCTAGGCTTTTTGATGCATCTGCCAGACTTCGGACTTGGGAGACCATGCCAGGAGATGTGAATCTCCCGCTGTACATCGCAGTCCGACACCCAGGAACACCTCCCAGCCACGATGAAGCGTATACCGTTGGGGGGGTATTGCAGTCTCTAACAACAAATTTATAACGTACCTAACGTTATGTGCTATTTTCTCACACTGATAATAGAACGCAATTATGTCGCAATTATCCATTGATTATACCAACATTCTGGAGGTGTGTGGGTATACAATAAAGACCGATCAGGCGAAGTGATGCGATCTTGTATACGATAACAAATGGATTACGCCACCGAGATTTAATGACAAAACTTTCCCTTCACGAATTATTATGGCTCCGTAATCTAAACGGCGTATGTCGACCTTTCTACCCTCCTTCGCTTATTGGGCTATCTTGTGGGATTTTACGATGGCAAGAACGTCAGAAAGAGCGTAAAGACCGATTTCTGAAGAGACGGCCCTTGTGTTACAGGTGAATAGCAAGAGGCAGCTTCGATGTCGTCTCGATGTTCTGTTCGTTAGATCAGGTCCGCGTGGCGACATGCGCTACCTGAGATTTTATCACTTCTCGCCGCTTGGGATCATAGACGGCGACTAAGTGTCCGGGATATCAAGACTGGTCCATTACTAATTGGGCAGTTTTTTCTTTTCAGGAATTCTGACACAGCACTCCTAGGGCGTTTCCAGACTTTTTCCACTACATGGATATGAGAGAAGCTTTGTTTCAGAAGCGATTTCTACTATTGGTGGTCCTGCCAATTGATTCGAATATGACATCTGGACTAAATTTAAAACAGAAATAGAAGGAGAAAAAAGACCACAGAAATAGGCTTAACATAAACTGCAGAACAATTCTAAATGCTGACAACAATGTGGTTATATGGTATACATGGTAATATGTTTTAAACGGTGACATATGTACCTCTAGAGCGACAAAGCAAAGCTTCTTCTACAGAACTCTCACACTTCAAACCTCACTCACCCTCCACGAAAATTACCACTTGCTATCCAAAAACCAGCACAATCTGTTTGATGGACGGACAGAATAGCGGACAAATCGCTGAAATGCGTAAACGAAACTAAATTAGCCTCTAGTGACAGCAATACAAAACAGAACGCCAGTCAATAGGTGCTAGAAATCTAGAAGAGATCTTTCTCGGACGAGTCCTACTTCGCCTGACTTGAGTTGTTGGGCAATACGACCACTGCTGAAATTTGCGCACTAAAGTTCGAAACTAAAAGACCCATAACTTCTCATTGACTAAAGAAAGTCTATATTACAATAAATCATTCCTACGTTTGTCACTTATTACATAGTGCTTACAATCATCAAAATCCCCATTTTCTCCAATATTCCCTTTAAGCACAATTTACACGCGACCATAGCCTACATAATTCCGTGAAATCTCCAGTTTGCAATCTACACTGTTTTGCAATTCAAACTCAGAAGATCAGTAAATGGATGAGTCTGGAGCAAAGTCTTGAGCAATCTGCGTCCTTCTAAGTCGATCGCATGCATTCACCCCATTACGCACGGCATGCTTACGAAAAACTGAGTATGGTCATGCATGTCTTGAGCGCTCAGAAATGCCTCAGCATACAACATCCCGCGCTCGTGTTTCGCCAACTGTCGATGACGATCATTAGAACAATTGAGTTGAGAACTATAGATTTGAAAAACAGATTTTATAAAATCCTCATAATATTCTGAAAGTTGGGAAAAAACTTTAGATTCATCACGCTTCCAATGAAACAGCGCCAGCCGCAATCTTGATCTAAAGATATGAAGGAAATGTGCCATAAGTTCCACGAAATCACAATTTCAGCTTGGTAGAATAAAATAGCCTATGTCTTCTATAGAAAAAGAGGTACCGATTTAGAGTTGAAGGCGACATGTATTTCCGCACAAAATGCATTTTATACGATGTATCCCGCCAGTTATGCGTCAAAGCTTGATTGGTTCACTGCATTGGTGAGCACCCGCAACAGCGTAAAAAATCAAACGAACTGGTCCGTCGTTGTCCAGAAAAGTTGAGCTTTGCCTTCAAGTGAAAGTGAACGAGCGACAGCTCTTTATAGGGATAACCGCCACTGAGCGAATCGTTCTATTACACATCTTAAACTATCATAGCAATAAAATCCCCGCAAACCAAATATTTATGATGACCTACTTTGTAAAACATGACTAACAATGGTTAGCATATATGGGGCGACGGTGCAAATCTAGCCCGGACGTAAAAACTATAACGCACAGAGGAACTGTTCAATAATTCCGTTTTGGATACCGTTAAATTCTAATGTAAGCAAATAAAGCCATGAGACAAGCGAATCTTTATAGACTACTAATCACTAATTTGCTAATAAGTCATGAAATACTTTTTGACAAACAACCTGCAAGTTGAGTGGGTAGATATTCTCATGTGAATGAAAAAGAAAAAAACGAAAAAATTGGCCATTGCATTAAAATTTCGAAAGCAGAAAATAGCAAATAAATAAAAGAATATGAACGTTAGTTAATATCCAGTCTGTTTTTCTTATGGAAAAAACAGTTAACTATCACATTATTTACAAATTTTATAAGCATCTATTGGCAGAATGCGATGCTGAGCAATTGAATCAAGAACCCAGTCAGCCAACAACACCTGAAAAATGGTGGATGTCTATCGATTCTCCACTCACACTTAGAGCTGATAGGGAATAGCAAAACAAGGAAAAATGTAGAGTTGACTTACAGGGACTCCATGCATGCTTGCTTCATATCTTCGTGCTGCATCCACTTCTATTGAGTAAGGCATAAAAATGGTGTAACTGTTCTTAGAACTAGCAATTTCCCATGGTTTATCGAAACAAGAACCTCCACAGGTCGTGATGAGTTCTACCAAGCTCTGGAATAGAAAAAAAAATAGAATTTTGGCACAATGACTGCTTACTAAAGAAAGAAAAACTATTCACAACTATCATAAAGTAACATTTATTTCCCAACTACTTTCAAAGAATCACTGATTTCAAAACATATCATGTTACAAATGCTGAGAAGGATCACTTCTACACCCATTTACTGGAAAACCTCGACTTGATGGTACTTTTACAAACTTGACCCGAATAAGATGTGTAAGCTAAACATAAGGTGAAGATTGAGCTTGGATCTGAGGAAGACGAAAACGTTGAGACGTTAGCCGAATAAAATTTATACAATAACCTCGTGCAAACTGAACTGTTTAAAGAGACCTATAGATTATTCAAACTGAGGTTAAGCGAAAGTCTGTTTAGTAACAGCATTATTGCGCTGTGTGCCAGCTGTTCTAATATCGACTGCTACAGGATAGATTGTTGGTCGGAAAAGAAGTAATTATCAGTCGACAATCAGTCAACAACCGTCCTGTATAAAAGAATGCCGCTGGATGAGGTTGCCTCATTTGAGCGGTGCTCCGACCGAAGAACAGTGGACTATTCGACGACGAAAAAACCACATGGAGAAGACGAGACTATGGACCATCGACTCAGATCATCGACTTTTAGCAAGCTGAAGTAGTCGAAACGTTAACCGAATAAAACTTATACAACAACCTTGTGTATGCTGAACAAATCACAGCGATATATTAGAAATAAGGTGTTTCAACGGGTGTCAGCACATAAATCAGTTTTGCAAACATCAACGACAAACATGATCGTATACTTACTTGATACTTTGTACTTGAATGGCCCGTCTTCACTAGTTGTGCGGGCCCCAGCATAATCTTTATTTCTTGGAAATTTGTTGGTTAAGCCATTGTGATTCCCTAGAATTCCGAGGTCAACCTGGGCAAAGTCTGCCCCAGGTTTTCACCACCACAGGCAGTCGCCGTCCTTCTGGATCAGATGAGATTTGCCACCATGCGACTTTGATACCAGGACGATGATGGATCGTGGTATTGGTTCACTCTTAGCTAAGCTCCCTGATGGAAACGCTGGACTCCTTCTCAGCTTGGGAGATCTTGCCAAGGGGATGAATCCCCCCGTTATACATCGCAGGCCAACACCCAGAAACACCTCCCAGCCACGATGAGGCGGTAAACCAATAGGAGGTGATCGTATACGTTAGTGGTCAATCAGTTCTCTCATATCACAACCTTCATTCTCTAAATCACAGATTTTATGATTGACCCTTCCCTAGCAGAAAAAAAACAGTACCATCCAATCAATGTTAATGCTGCTCTTCAATCCCTTAAGTTGTATGTATAGAACAGCCTTTTTAAGTTATTCCCTATCCAAGGATTTAACTACACAATTTTTGAGTCGACCAAGTGGAGAAACCAGAAATTCCGCTTGGTAAGAATAGGAAGCCGATTCAGTCACTGCATCGCTTTTAGAGTTAACGAAGGTGCCAACTAGGTCTTATTGTCTTGCACCGTCAGCGCAATAGCGCAATTCAGACGATGCACTTGCTGCACCTTTCATTGCTGATCACCTTATACAGTTTAGTGACTAGTAGGGACTAGTAGTTAGGCGGAGTTAACAGGATCTCGCGTAGAAGTCAAAAAAGAGGTAGATCATGCACCAGTTCAAATGGTATTGCACGAAATATTTGACTTTTGCTCGTCACTGTATGTGTTATTATTACCATTTACTACAATAGCGATGAAAGGTGTGATTTGATTAAAAGCGAGATTCATGCCCTGGACCATCTTTCCTCAACTGTCAATTCCTAATCTATTGACGCCATATTTCGTTGAACAGTATAGTTGTAACTCTGTATTTTTAATTTTTAGAGCTGACCACATGTTACTACATTCCACTGCATTATACTGAGTTCCCACATTAGTAAAATAAGAGAATCAAAACTTACTTCTTTCGATAACAAATCAGAGTCCAAGAACGATGGGGGAAGAAAGAAGTTCATCTGATCAAATAGAGGTTTGCTAGTTTGTCTTGCTCGGATCCAACCAGGGTCCTCTCCAGTAGTCTCAAACGTTACGCCATACTTAGCCTGAGAAGCAAGTAAATGAAATTCCGCATTAACTACAGATATCAACTTTCCGAACCAAAATGCCTTAAAATATAAGAAAAGAAAGGGAACGTAACTCACCGTCGGCAATAATTGTCGAGATTTAATGCATTCTTCCAGCCAAACACGAGCAACAACTTCACATTTATGAGCCACAGCGTACACGTAAGCAAAAGATTTTCGATTACATACAGTCCCTTCTAAAGGTGCAAAAGTAAATTTGTTAATCACTTACACATTATGTGAGTCAACAATATTTATCATTGAAATTTGCCTCACGAAAAGACAGAACCTCTCTATCAAAACGGAAGCAGAACAAAAGGTAATAAAAGATCTTGATAGTGAAGGATAGGAAATTTGGGCAATAATATGAAGAAGAATGCATGCGGTGGCTTCATCAGCGAAGATTTAGATGGATTTATTTCCTACGCAAATAATCTCTAAACATTTGAGTAGACAATACAGTCAGAGAACTATTTAGTTATTAAAACTGTCAAATATGACAATGAATTAGAAATGTTTGGACGAGGATGTGAGGTACAAGGCCTATCATTATGAGTATAGAACTGTAGAGCTTACGAGAATTCATCATAATGAGGTGGGTACACGAAGAACCAAGCTCCTCGTTGAACTGAACATTGGGAAACAACGAAAGGAACTCGCGGACGAGATTCTAAAAAACCGTGAGACTAGTTTCAAAACATAAGTCTTAGAAACAACTATAACTAACAAACTATGATAGGTAAAATGGATGGGAACAAAATTCTCTGAAATGTAAAGAATTGAAAATCACCTTATCTTCTACGCCACTGGACCGCGAAACACAGAAAACCATAGGACGAACAACTAAATTTTCCTTTTCTTCGATGGCAAAATGAGAGGGTACCTCTAAAAATATTTCCATCAATAAAGAAAATTCCAGAGATCGAAGAACTCGGATTTAGCGTTTATCACATGCAACAAAATACATAGTACTTTGAAGTATTTCTGAAACAGAGAATTTCACACAACCCCAATGAATCAGTGTTCTCAACAATTCTGATACAATTTGCCTAATGTCTGAGGAAATTGACTGAATGATAGTTCTTGGTTATATCTTCACAATGAAGAATGCAAAGTGAGAGACTAACCTTCAGGACATGATTCAAAAGGCACTTGAATAGTGATATTCAAACTATCATCGTTAGCACTGTAAATTTCGTTTGAATCAAAGCATTCTCGGCCTAATGGCGATAACTGCAAAGAGCTCGCTATGCTTAGCTTCTATTTCCGTAATACACCCACCTTCCATCTTTCTTTTAATAATTCTACTATTATGTATGAACACTATGAACAAGGAGAACAGAAGATTTTATGCTCTCTACCTTATCTGACAAACCATTATACAATGTAATAAGTACACACGGCACAAGGTTATGAAAGTGCATAGCCGAGCAAAACTCGTATCAATGTGACCCTTTTGATGCACCAAGGAGAAAAAAACTACCAGAACGTTGTTCGCTGTGGATAGGAAATATTGTGTCAACAATCTCATTCCTGCTTATCAAGAAAACAAAACTATATTGAGCAATGCAGAGATTAGTAGAAAACTGGTCTAGGGAAATACTAGCATTGTAAAACACAATACAGTTGACCATTCACATCCTTTTAGGCATCTTCAACCAAAAGTGAATTATCGTATAAATCCCAAAGGATTTTCAACGATCTAGCAAGACTTCAGGTCACAGGTAAAATGCCGTTGAAAGAGGTACATAAAACGCTTTGAAGAATGGGTTTCCTTTTCATGAAATAGAGTACATACATTATTTCCCAAAGCTGCTGGCAGAATATGGATACAAATGTTCCCCATTTGTAACCCTTTTATCGAACTGTTTTCCTTTTTCTGACCAGCGTAGAGACTCCATATAGACAGTCGAATGATTACCTTTACTTCTTGTGCCATATCATGCGATTGAACCGATTTTGGTTGTTGAACGTGACACTGAGCTCCTAACCCAACACAATTGTCAACATCAGAAAAACTATCTAAATGAAATTTAAAAACTGATCAAAATTACTGCTATAGAAAGAACTTGTCATCCACATTATAGTAAATAGTGTAAGGAAATACCAGGAATAATTTCTGTTGAAGGTTCTGGCCCCTCTAGAGAACCTATTGTTTGCTGGTTTTCTGAAGTCGTAGGCGGTTGCAATTTGAACAATTCATGCAGTACATTAACCATCTGAAAACGAACATTAAACATATAGAGCTCGGCGGAAATGACAATTAGTAGCAGTACCTCAGCTAACAACGACTCTTTCAGTTCTGGCGTTAACTCAAATATGGCATGCAAATTAGGATAACACACGAACTTCCCTGAAAATAAGTCGTATACCGGATCCAGTTCACTCAAAATCTTTCTTGGCAACAGTTTAGTAACACTAATAACAATCTATGCACAAGCAAGCAGTGAATTTAAGCTCAGTAAGAAATTTAAGCACGTTCACATACCAAGAAGACATTGCAGTGAGTTCCGAATATTACAGCTGTAAGCAGAGTCAAGAAGGTTACATTGGACACCGACTGATGACGTTGAGTTTATAGCACTACCCACATTGCTATTGTGGGTCAAAGCTTTAGACTAAAAAGTGGTTGCAATAAAAGAACTGTAAAGGAATGTTATAGTTATTAATATAACCTGACTATACGTACCTCGACAGACATCTGTTCTTTTACAATCTGTCCTATTTGCTTTACTGATACAGATTCGCCCTCATCACCGACGTTCTCTTCAACGATCCTATCCATTTTTGGGATTTTGGAAGCGACATGAGTACCACGAATCTTCTTTCGTTTTCCACGCTGAACTTACCTTATTCAGGGAAAACACCACGCTAGTGAATCAGAGATGTGACAAAGGACATACAGCTTTCGGCAGAGTGAACTCAGGAGCCCAACGAGAAGGTACCGGACTATCACTCGGAGCGTGCGTTGCTGGTACCTAGAAAACCGCAAGCCAACGATACAAAAACAAACGAAGGAAAAGCTATACCACATGACATTACTAGCGTGTGCCTCAAGGTACAAAAAAAAGCAACGTTGAATTTTTATTGTAATGCTGAGATATCTGCAAAACTCCGGACCGCAGGTTCTGCGGTGGCGAACGAACGCGCTATTGTCCTTTCCGGGGAGTAACGCGTTCACCACCACACCATGCGGGTCCCTCGTTTCGCCTGTCTCTCAGCTAGTTCCATCGATCTTTTGCCATCAGCAATCAGTTAAATTTTTATTTACTGCCTATTTTTCACGTCAGGGCATGTTGTGAAACACAACCATTATGAAGTTGAGATAACTGCAAAACTTGCATCCCAGCACAACCTTTCATTACTCTTTCCGGGGGCTCACGTGTTACCCACTGTACCCCTGAGTTCCTTGCTTTGTCTTTTATTTTCTCTCTTTCTTTCCGCACATTTCGCAACTATAGTTAGTGCAACACCCGCTCTGAAAAGGGAAAATGGAATCCTCCTTGTAATTATTGTGTTTGAGACAGACATACAGAATCCGTTTCACGAACAGCTCTGCGACAGCAAAATCTCTTGCTTGACCATGACTGACTTTGCTATAAAAAAGATCTTGTCCTTCCTCTCTAATACTAGCACTGAAGGTAATATATGCGAGGACTAATTTCTTACATGGTTGAGCTGACACGAGGTTGATATGAAAGCATAAAGGATAAAGCTCTTGGCGTTGACCAATCTCTTAGGGATGGGCCATTCATTCTACTTCATTAAACATCGTTTGGAGGTGATTGAATGCATATCTGGCCTTTACAATGACTCGCTTTGGCCTACTGATGTATCGAGCTAGCGCTGCTATCCTCCCAGAGAACTCTGGTACCAATTTGCCCAACCCCGGAGGAAGTAGAGCCCGGTGAGCCTGCAGCGCAGAAATCGATCCCAGGTTTATTGCAGGGCGCCTCTGAGCACTGTGTTACACACGTCCCTTGGTAACAAAGGGGTTGGTATGAAAAACATTTATTCAGATAACATCTTGGCATCTTCGCCTTTTCAGACTTGTGTTGATCGCCATGGATGGTCGCGAGTTGCTCGTTGTCTCCATGAGGGTGTTCTTGATTCCATGCAATCGAATCCATTAAGGGGAGCACACTGCTAGACTGGAAACGCCATCAATACTAGATTCAGACAGTAGAAGTATTTTTGCCCAAAACTCAGATGCAGAGTAGGATACCGGAGATACTGCCGACTGAAAAGGGTAATCACGGCGAAGTGTGTCGATTGCAATGTTCTTCAATTTCACTGGGAGATCGATGGAAAACACCCTTGTCTTCTTGTAGATATTATATCTCTGCATCTCAAGCCGTTCTTCGCTGTATGTAAGGCTTCCAACGAACTACATTTCACTTTTGTCTCCTGTGGATTCATTGTCCATAAGAAATAAGGTTTTTTTAAAAGAATGGTTTACTCTTTGTTTTATGTGCGCAAACAGGATGCTTATCGAAACATTTCGACAACCTAAGCTATGGATCAGACGTGAATGCTTACTCAAGTATTGAGGTCCATCCAATGCCCTTCATATATGCTAATAATATTCGTGCAGAGGCCGTACTTAAACTACACTCGAGAAGTAAATCCAATGTTAGCAACGAAAATCCTTCGGTTCATCGTTATTCTCCAGAACAACAGTATATGGAATCCTCCATCATTTAGATGTCCCTTCTTTTGAAGACAAAATGTTATATGGATTGGAAAAATCACGTACAAAACGTGGTCTCCAGGACGGAGAAAAAGGTGCGTAACGTTCTGTATTATTCAACGTATACGCCGTCTTCTCAATGCTCTTCATCATAACACAGAATTTAAGGGAAAAATTCCAGTGGTTCTCGTCCAGCACGAACTTCAAGGCTTGATACAAAGTGTTGGACGAAAATATTGGGGCAAAACATTCCCCATATTAATTCCATACTATGATGAGGCTATAATAATGATCCTATCCTCATTCACCACGGATAGTACTTGTGGAAGGATCTCCCGCAACCGGCGTTTATTACTACACATGTTAAATTTGCTGCAGTAACTAGAGATTTTCCCCATTTTCAGCAACTCTTCATGGCGGTACAGCTCCGAATATCTTTACTGAAAAATTGCGGCATCTTCAACACAACTTCTAAGTTCTTCGACGAGGGACTCTTAGCCCTCAGTTGGAAATTTCTTAACTTGCAGTCATGAATCAGAAACAGTTGATCTGGAAAAAAATGTTCCTACCGTACATCTAGTTCTTTTTTCTTATGCAATTATCCCAGTCCTTTTATAGTTTAAATTTGAGTAGAACCTCTGCACAGAATACGTTGCTATCGGATCGAATACAGTATGGTACGCACGGTAGCGTCATGGAGTCATCTACTGCTCCAAAGATTTCATGACCTACAAGCATGCACTCAACTCTAAACCCTATATTACGTTTGATCACCGATTAGTTCATATTTTTTCTCCAAAAACTTCCCAATGAAGTCTGACTCTCCATTCGACGGTCCTCTTTTTCTGTTTGTTTGATACCGCGTAAGACTCACTGGAAAAGTGTTCCTTCCAACTAGTAGTCGTTAAGATGTACCACGTGTCGTTCCATTTTCTAGCATACCGGTGTACGTTACAGTTTCTCTGACATTAATCATCAACGAGCGTTAAGACAATGGATTCTCTTCCTTACTTGTGAATTCGGAATGTTGCTAGCGTTAGTATTTCGATCGCACCCAATACCAACATTTCGGTTTCTAAGATGCATGTAAGGCAGAAGCAATCGTAAAGTCAAAAAGGGTACACAACCGGATATTACTTATCGTTGTCACTACCTTCAAGATTCTCTTCTAACTGCTACTTTCCTCTCCCTCATATATTCCTCTCTTATTCCACTGTAACATCCCAACACTATCGTGAGAGCGATGGATAAGCCGATGTTTCGATGTAGTCGCAAAAGCTATCTACCAATTTGAATCAGACTGAGTTGAAGCGGGGTTGGTATAGTTATCCTTGTTATTCTTGTAGTTATTGTTGTTTGTCGATGGTTGACGTTTCGGCAATTTCGCCTTCCTTAGAGCCGTGCTGTTACGGGTAGGACTCTGACTCAGATTTACGACGATTTGGGATTTCGCTCCTGGATTTCAACGGCTTGGTCCCATTGAAAAACGAAACTTGCATGAAAAAGGAGACCTTTATATGGTATGAAAATAATGGGAAAACAGTGAAATCACCACAATAAAATCTTCGCCTTGCTACAACGCTCGTCCATTTCGGCACAGTATTAACTATACGAAAACTCATATGTACAAGATTGCGAGTGGAATTTCCGCAGATGTGGTTTGCATGAATGGCTGTGGTTTCCATGAAAAAAAAATTAGCTCAGACAGATAATGATTCTGGTCGCCGCTTTGCATATGTCCCACCGCGATACGTTGTTCCTTTCGAAATTATCCTGGAGTCAATCACCGGTTTAAGTCGCCAACGAAAGCTTTACAAAAAGTATGATCCTCTTTACAGAATTTCTTCACATACACATAGAACAATTCGCCGTGATAATACTTGATTTTGAGGAGTAGGTGCCGAAGAATGGCAACGCCTCTACAATCGAGCATTCGAAAGAATAACCTTTTTCCAATACCACAGTCGTCATTCAATGGTGAGTTCACTCTCATCTCGGCTAGTCCAATGACAATGTGCTTCTCCCGGTACCACCGAGGAGCTGGTGTGTTGCATATATGTCATGCATTTCTTCCGCAAATTCGTTGTACACGTTGTTACGACCACATTATCGTTTTTTATTTGAATAAAATATGTTCAATAATGTTTTAATGTTTAAAGGTTCAATTCCGATTTGTGTCCACCGAATCATTCCTGTTGATGGGTGATTGCTGACATGACCGTTAGAGAAAACAACTGGCTAGAAGGCGAAGTAAAGGCCTCGATTGGCGCGGTGGTTCCCGGATAGGGCAATCGTGGGTTCCAAGCTCAACCGAGGTTCCGAGCTTTGCTCATATCACATCCTTGTAGTTATGTTTCACTTTATACATTCTTTTGATTTCAAATTCGCTTAAAATTAAAAATCTCAAGAAAAAAAAACTTAAAAAGAACTCCAAGTTTTTAAAAGTTTCCATTCAAGCATGGCACGCAGCCAAAAAAATGGGTTGCACTTCGAACACTGTCGCGTCCAAATAGACGCGATCTCGGTTGTTCAATTGCTCTTGTATCGGAATACGAACTTTATGGCAAAATGCGAACAAAGTACGCCTTGTGAGCTCCAGAACATGGGAATTTCACCGAATTTTTACCAGCTAGCCAATGACCTGTGTATTTTAATGGCCTTTGCTTCAACTAATAAACTTGATTACGAGCTATTCTGGTCCAAAGCTGAAGCGGCCATCATTCTCACATCACATGACTCTGTATGAGATCACGTCGTTGAGAATGTGTTAACTATATGAAGTTTTCAGCATGTGGTTAATCGAAACCATTTTAAACTGAATGCGATTGTATCCTTTAAAAAACAGAAAGCTTTATCTAAGCCTTATTTTCACACTACGTATATTTAAAGGTGCCATTCAGTGAAAGAGATCCGGGGAAACACAGTGTTTTAAAGAAAACACAAAATCTTAGAGAAAAAAGGATGAACCTATGTCATACCTATGTACTAACTCAGTGGTTGAAAGCGCTTAAGAAACATTTTGAAAGAAAGTATAGAACACGGATATTATGGAGAGATGCTGTTTCCTCATCCAGATCTACGGACTTTGGAGTACTTGTTCAGCAGTACCAGGTGTTCTCGGGTAATACACGCGGCGCTCTTATGAATGACTAACTCCAAGACTGCAAAATTTTCCTTATGCGATCGGTGGAAGGAAGTCTATGTGCTTCTGTATGGTCAGAACGGAAAGACGGAACGCAGAAGACTTTTACGCACGCAAAAATCCTAACACTTCTTCATAGTCGACCAAAACACAAAAAAAGAGACATAATTCCAAAGGTACATACTTGGCTTTCGGCGTACGCGATATCTTCAGGTATGGAAAATGACTGTTCTTCTAAATCTATCCGGAAATTACGTCCAACATGAAGATATCCCTGGACAATTGAATTGTGCTGCTCTGATGCAGTGCAACTTCTGAATATAACTTTACAAAAGAGACAAGAAGTCCAATTTATTTTTCGACAGACCTTTTGTTCAGTTTTTTACGACAAATAGGGCATTCGACCATTCGTCGACACTGAAACACTTGGTCCAAACAAGGTTTACAAAAGACGTGACTACATGTGGCCGACACGGGGTTGGAAAGCGTGGAACGGCTAAAAAGGGCATCAATTTGATTTTAACATGTCGACCAACAACGAAGTTATCATTACCACAAACACAAGTGTATTACGTCACTTTTAAAATCACGAACACAACTTCCAATCATTTCTTCAACTAGTGATGCACAATCCTCAAGACGGTTCAGCGCCTCATCGTGGCTGGGAGGTGTTCCTGGGTGTCAGGCTGCGATGTATTGCGAGGGTATTCATCCCCTCGGCAGGGTCTTCCAAGCTTGGAAAGAGTCCACTTTCTTGCAAGGACATTTCCACTAGGAAGCCCAGCTAGGAGTAAACCAATACGAGGATCCACCAGCGTCCTAGTATCAAACTATCAACGCATGGTAGCAAATATCCCTCTGATCCACAAGGGGGACTGCCTGCGGGTGGTGACGATCTGGGGCAGACTTTGGCCAGGCTGATCTCGGGACTCCAGAGGAACACAGTGCTGGCTAAATGGATAAAACTCCAAAAAATGGAGAATATGCTGGAGCCCGCACAACCAGTGAGGACAGACCGTTCAAGTATTCAAGTGATCCCAGATATAAAAAAAAACCTTTGTGAAGGAGAACTCAAAAACACGATTACATACTGTAATCAACTCACCATATACCACACATTAGCTCGGCTTTAATTGCAGAAAGCACGTTATTTATCTTCAAAGCGACTTCGTACGAAGAACACCCAGACATTCTCTAGAAATCCCTCAACATCACGATAACATAAGGTAAAAACAAGCTAGCGTTGACGATTTAAAGCAGCCAAAAGCCAAACAACCCTATCACACTGGGATCAATTGCCCGAAAAAGAGGAAATTTAGCCGAAATCGAACTAAAATGTCGATGGATCGAGGGATCAAAAGGATCGCACGAAAAATCTTTAAAGGATTGGCCTTTGTCCATGGAGCGCGAAAACATGTCGATGGAACTCATCCTTCTCAGACTTGCTTGTAAACCTGACATGGAATGTTGCTGACCAAACATGTTCTCTTCTTCATACTTTTTGTAACATTAATTTAAAATAGCAAAGTAGTAACACTCTCTGTAGGACGTAGTGACTCCTTCTGTATGTCCAGTGAACTGTTAGCACGTTATGAACACGCTTTTGGCCAGTTACCGTAATTGGAAAGAGGTGGTTATTATATGATGTATCATAGAAATTTTCTATCTTTACATAACCTCACATCACACATTGGACGTGTCCGAGCACTTGTCTCATTTTAATTCTATTCGTTGCCTCGTACTGACACACATGACGATGGTCTGATTTGCGTGAGTTTGCTTGTTGTGGAAATCTTCGGTTTCCTTATGAATGTCATTGCTTCATGGGCGAGTAGCTCCAGAAGACCTCCTCTCAACACAGGACTTAAGAGTCTCTCATTGGAGAGCACCACAGCGCTAAATTCGAAAAACGTAATCTCAAGACTGCCATCAGCTGGGATTTATTATCATTATTCGACTGTTGAGAATATGCCGGTAGGGATAAAACCGACGAGGAATATGATCGTCTCAGTCTCCAGAAACATAGGAGCTGATATGCCAGCGTGGAATCGCGCGAGCTACAGGCAGCTTGCCAACTCACGTCCGAACTTGCAAAACAATGCAGACATGCGATAAAAGAAGATCTTAAAGAGAAGAGCAGCTGTTGTGGTCGAAGCTGCAAAGCTGGGAAAAGCATTTGTGGAAACAGGGTTTCGAAGAGGATTCAGTACGATATTTCACATTCACACGATAACAACACACATTGAAGAATAGTGAGCGCACCGGAGACCGCCCTGTCCTAATTTCATCGATCTAGAGAAAACTTTTGGTCCAATTGAGAGAAAGAAACGGTAGTGGAAGCTCTGGACAGCCAAATATTTTCTATTCAGTATGTAAGGATTCCTTGTGATCTATATAAAAATCTCACAACTAATCATCATTCTACAACGATATTATCGTCGACTTCAAAAGAGGGGTTAGGCAAGATGAATCGGTAACTACACTATTCCCGCTGAGTTAGTGACATCGTTCTTATAAAATCAAGCATTAGCCAGGCTGAACGAATGATTGCTGGCCTTGATAACACCCATGTGTCTTCTAGTAAATCCCACAAAAACAATGTTGTTGAAATCAAAATAATCAACGACTTAGCTCCAGAGTTGAGCAGGAGGAATCGAACGGCTTGGAGAACTTTCAACGGCATTAACGATGTTGTGAGGAGGATACCCAACTCCGTTCCCACCTTTCCGACTCCACGATTATTCCTGCCTTAACTTATGCGCGAGAAACCTGGTGGGTAAGTAGGCAGGATGAAAGATCACTAAGTGTTATAGAACGCACAGTCGAAAGAACGATCATAAGAGTATTCCGTGTCACACAAGTAAGAGAAGGGATCCGAAGCTCCGATCTGATTCAACGATTAAAAATCACAAGCGCTATTATGCACGTCAAAATGTCGAAAATCAGCTGGACCGGACACGTAATGCTTGTGAACGACAACCAGATGGACAAGACCAGCAGTGGTTGGATTCCTCGGCATGTCAAACGCACAGGAAGAAGACCGCTGAGCTGACACTTCTTCACGAAAACCCTAGAAGAAAGATGCGATGTTCAGCGAATCCCTAGAGCGTGCAAAACCCACTGAGCTAAACTTGCACGCGACAGGAAGAAGTGAAAGATTTCACAGAGTCCGCTCAAATCACTCTACGATCAACGAAGCGACAGACTGCAGGTGATAACTAGTGGTTCGTGGTCCCTTCCCCCATTCCATGTATCTCTATTCTATTCAGTTCGTAACGTCACAAAAAAAATATGGATTGTGGTTAGATTCCTTGCCGAAAAACCATGATTCTTACAGAGACTACTTTCTATCTTATGAACAGTTATGTTTCACCATATGTTTTGCTACCCTTTCATACACTTGCGCCGTCCTCACTCCGAGTTGTTCAAATTGTATTGGCTTTGAAAATTGACTAAATACTCTGACCAAGTGTTCATGTAAAGTTACTCCCCGGAAAGGACAATAGCGCGTTCGTTCCCCATCATAGACACCTGCGGTCCAGAGTTTTGCAAATATCTCAGCAACGTTGTGGTTGTACTTCGCTTAGTACCCTGCCGCGAAATCATAGTAGGCAGAAAATAAAAAAGGTATAATGTATATGTTGTGTTATTTTATTTTTACGGACCGTTCTTGGTTCGCTGAAAGAGTTCGTTAACACGTATTTTTGGTTTCCTGTGGCTAACCTTTGGGTGACTATACCTTCTTCGAAACCGTTTTCGTTTCCTTAGGACTTAGACCACCAATATGATGTTCACGCAGCCCGGTAAAAGTTGAAAAAAATCTTTCCGAATAATCGTGTTAAATTGCATCATTTGCCCTAATGGTAGAGACGGTGATTACAGGAGTTCGGGCACAGTGTATTTGATCTCTTCTGAATCGTTCGGGGACGAATACATTGGCGAAACGAGTAGACCGCTCTGTGTCCGTATAATGTCCGTATAAAAGAACACCTAGTCAGTAAACAAACCGAATGCTCCACTAGGCACGTATAGGAGACAGAGACAGAGACATAACGAAGAGGACTTCGAGGTACGGGTCACGATCCTCGCACAGAAATCGAGAACACAAGCGCGCAAAACTCGCGAGGCGTTCTGGATTAATTCCTGAGATCCGAAAATGAACCGCAGGGAAGAATGCCTCATTATCACGCGTGATATTGGGCAGTATATAAGCCTGTTATTCTGATGAGAGGGGCACACTACGCTTCCATGTGAATTCTGTGCGGTTGGTCTTCACACGACATACTCAGTGGAAGACTCATAGAAAGCGGTGAGTGTGCGGAACTGTGTTCAATGTGATTGAAATCTTGGTTTAGCGTTTTCTGTGTTTGGTTATGGAGGTGTCTGGCCGAATAGATTGCTGTCAACTTGCCCTTTCCAGGCTCTGAGGAAGGCGAAATCCGCTGAAACGTCAGCTTGTTCTTGAATTAGGAATAAAATAACATCTCGTGTTTGCTCAACAAGAGCATATAGAATTATTCAATCGTGTCAAGTCCAGTGCATTCCGTTGCGTCTGACACATTTTTTTCGCATCTGTCATAACATCCATTCAAAGCATCTTTTATCAGATGGAATTTTTCTTTTCTACTTGACGAAAACAACCAATTCTTCCGTTCTTAAGCGATAGCTAGTCTTTTCCAGGCATCAGTCTACAAATTCAAATGCTGTGTAAGGGTTATCGGCTTCTTAGACAAAAGCATCCGTTTCACAGGATCATCCATATTCATCCAATTTTTCAGTCCATCTTCGATAACTTCTATTTCATGTCATTTTTACTGATCTGACTTTGTTGTTATTGCTGTAAAATTTATATAAAGCCTCAATTTTCCAAGTTTGAGTTTCATACAACGGGCTCATGCAAGGTTCCACGTGGCAGCATGTTAGTGCTAGATGCTTCCCACAATCTTAAAAAACAATTTAAGGTGGCAAATCTCTATTCGATATATAATTGAAATAAGGAAGCTATAGGGTAATTGTTTGATTGGAACCCATGATGAAAGTAGCGCAGCAAGCAAACATCGTCGTATGAAACCACGAAAAGATCAGAAAAGGCAGGACCTCTAGCAAAGGTTTTCGGATAAAAAAGAGTCGATTTTAAAGGTATTGTCAGCTATGCTTCATCAAATGAAGTACCGACTTTTATAGAACGGATTGCCCGCTGAAAAGCAGGTCATGTTGGATGTCGGGAATCGATAAACACCCGTCCTGTATGAAAGGGAATCGCTGAGTAAAGCGAATATTAGAACGGTACACGCTACTTTTTGGATTCGACTTGATGTGACGACGAACAACCACATGGTGACAACAACCAGCTGTGGACCATCGACTAGAATCAAAGCGACTCTAAGGAAAGACAACGTGTCGGAACG